TTTTTATTGTGGAGGGTGTTAATCATGGATATTATTATCTTCATTATTTTAATTTTAGAGAAATACATGAAACAGTTTCATTAAAATTTCATTAAATATTATATGAAACAATTTCATAACCATATATGAAACAAATTCATCAAAAAAGTATTATATGAAAAAATTTCACAAGATTAAACAATTTTATGAAAAAATTTCATAAGATTAAACAAAGAAATCGACGTATGAGGACGGTTTGTACAAATGAGGGTGATTTTCATTTGATCGCTCCTTTCTCTCTCTCTCTCTCTCTCTCTATAAATATATATATATATATATATATATATATATATATATATACACACACAAGATTGATGGTCTATGTTTAACTGATATGGGACTCCAACGATCAACTTGCCTCGAGTTTAATTAGAATACACAAAATCTGGTAGGTAGGTTAGTTACCCTTGTGGTAATTTAAATCTTGTACTTGGTGTGAGAGGGGGACCACTCAAAACGCGGACTTAAAACACAATGATATCCGAGTGCTTGTTGCACAAATTTTTGCATCTTGATATGTTGTACCATTACATCATGCAGGCAAACACGCCGGATGAGCTTCCAGAGCATCTTTATGGTGCATCTCGTCTGAACCATCTTGACGTCTCTAGAGCATTCTGGACAAATCCATGATATAAATCCTACAGGTTCTTGGTTAATCAATCCAAATGGTGTTGTATACATATGATAAACGATAACGGATAACACAGTTATCGTTACATTAAAATTCCAAATTCGAAGCTAGAGACCACTTAAAACTTGTAGATTGTATGTAGTAAACAGATGTTAGATAACAAGATAGTATAAGATCAATTGTGTGGGAATTTACAACGCTTGGTTTTGGTACCACTCCACTTGTGACTTTATCAGTTTCTTAAGCCTAGAAAAAGAAAGTCTAGATACAAATGTGGTCTTCCTTTGCATTCATAAATGTTGTGAGCCCTCAATAATAGAAAATAATGAAATGTTTTTGAATCATTGTATTAGATCTTGTTTGTTAATTAATTATTTTTTTAAATAAAACAAACGTTAGAACGTCTTCAACAGTTACACTAAAATTGAAATTTTCGAGACTTATGAATTTTTTTTGCTCCAATTGCTATGCTAAAATAGAAAAAAATAATAGGAAGGAGGTGGAAATCTCTAAATTTGAAGAAATCTTTAAAAGCTCTTTATAAGTGAAAAAAAATATTTTGATTTTTTTTATTAACCTGGATATTCAAAACCTGTTATGTAAGCTGACTAATCCCAGGGCGATCACCTGCTTTGCAGATAGCCCGGAGTCATCGTATTTGAATCTTTGTGGCTACAAGGGGACTTTTATTTCTCCTTTGGATTTGAATATGAGACCTCCTGATACTTTTGATCATTGAAGCCAAAAAAAATAATATTTTATTTTTTTTCATCAGTAAGAGGTATTAAATTCTAATAATTTAATTATTAAAAATGCTAAAATAAAATAGTTGTTGAAGTTAGAATGTATTTTTTTTAGAGATTCTTACTTTTAATAATTTTATTTTAAAAAGTTCATAATACTTTAATGAGTATATGTTTAACAAAATGTCAAAAGAATCATTGCACCTTATGTTCGTTTCTGAAAAACACTTGTTTCTTATGAAACGAAATATTGATTTTCTTTAAAATAATTAGAAAAACAATGCAGTGAGATACATCTTTATTTTAATATTTTGTTTTATATTTTGGTTTTATCAATGTTATAATGCGATTTTATGTGGTTTTGAGAAAACGAAAATATTTTTGTTTTGAATGAAATATAAATTTGAAGATATTATAAAATTTAAAAAAAAATAAGCGATGTTAGTATCAAATTAACTATTTAGAAATTATTGTTTTTGTTTAATTTCCTTAATTCACTTTCTTATTATAATTTAATTGAAGTTTAAACATGAACTAACGTATTTTTGGTTTAATAAAATAATTTTTTAAGATAATAATTAAGTAATTTGTTACAACTCAATGATTATCTTAATTATATTTTAGATTTTTTATATTCAAAATGATATTTATCATGTATTTGATTATTTTTATCTGCAGTTAGTTACACAAATTCAAACATTAATCTTTAATAAGATGTATTCATGCATATCTTACTTGTAAACTTAAATTTTAAGTAATATGCATCAATAAACAGTACTTTATGCATAAAAAATTGTTTTTAAGAATTTTAGCCAAATAATTTATAATATAGTATAGATATAGATAATTATTTCAATAATCAATGACTTTCTTGATTAAACATTCCAATAACTTAATCATAACTTGTATGATCATGAAGAATCCTTTGTACTGATAATGGATCTTACTTATAAATAATGGATTTTGTTTGATGAAATATGTATCAAAAACCCATTAAAAAAACGACACGATATGTTAACTAACACATGAACATTTTTTTTATTAACCTGGATATCCAACTCATTATACGAACCGACTAATCCTAGGGTGATCACCTGCTTTGCAGATAGCCCGGAGTCATCGCATTTGAACCTCCGTGGCCACAAAAGGATTTTTATTCCTCCTGAGATTTGAATCCGGGATCTCCTAGTACTTTTGACCTTTGGGACCAAGCTCAAACCAATCAAGCACCACCCTTATAGTTTAACAATTTATAATTCTTTTGATATTAATAAAATCAGAATGACAAATTTAACGATTATATTTGTTAAGAGTTGCATGTAAATATTCCCATTTTGTATTAACTGAAAGAAATGGAAATAACGTAATTATAATCGATCAACCGTTTAATCATTTTCTTTTAAAATAGACGTAACCTTCTTTTGGCAAGTTTTAATAAAACTTGTTATTTTATCCATTACAAATATAACAGAATTAAAAAGACCAAATTTTGTTTGATAGATTCTTATACTGATTATTCTGAAGAGAGATTTTAGGTATTTTATACCGGTTCGAGTCTTGCAAAACTACTGAGAATTTTTGTAGTCATTTTTTAGGACTTGTGAGATTAGTCGGAGGTGCTGGCAAAATAACCCAGACGCCCATGAGTAAAAAAACATATTACATATTTAATTTATACTTACAATGGAGAATTTGGTTATAAAATTCAATATTATTTAGATACAAAGATATACAATCATAGGTTCAAATGAGAAGTCTCAGATATATGAGAAAGAGATAAGTCATCCTAGTTTTTCCACTAAAAAATTAATGGTCAAGATTTGAGGGGCTAATTGTGCAGTACCAAATAATTCGGTCACATGGTAACAATTATGCGGATGATTAAAGGGTAGTTTCATAACGTATACAATTACAACAGAATAAACAATAAACAAATAATAATATGTGTATATATGAACTCGTGTGATTCACCTTTAAATTATTTAACCGATTCACATATAAAATCATAGATTCTGACATGATATCAACTGTTTTGGGTCCTCTTCACATGTGAATTACTAGATAATCACAAATGAAATAGCAATGCATATATGAAACTGATTTAGTTCATATATTCATTGTTATGTGCATATTTGAACTCGAATAATTCACATATGAACTATTTAATTGATCCACAAATGAATCTTGGATTCACATATAGCGTTATAGTTTTAAAATCAAAATCAACATCTTGCTCAATATCGTTTTCTAAATTTAGATTCATATTGAAAGAATACAAGATTTGATCGAGAAAAATATTAAGAAATTTAATAATCTTGATAACCTAGAACTGCGATATACGATCGAGAAAGAATCGATGATAGGATTGCCATAAAATCGGATTTGATTTATTAGAACTGTTAATGGAGGACCTTACGCTGCTCTAATCTTGTTAATTACAATCTTTAGTTACTAATTACCATATTACCCTTCGTTTAATAATTTTTGATCATTTAATCTAATGGCTATGATGAATTTTCCCTTTCTCGTATAGCCAATGGCTAATTACCATATTACCCTTCATTTCATAAATTTTGATCATAAGTTGTGTGTATAAGTCTGAATAGGTTTGTAGCAGTATCTGTCTAGGAGACGACCCTATTTCCATACAAAAATGTACTTGAAAAGTGCTTGTGTTGCACTTGTTTCTGATTCTAATTCAAGAAACGAGAAAAAAAGTGAAGGTATGTTCAACGTTCGTCGATGAACATAAAAGTCAAGGGGCACAAATGCAATTTTCATGCATATAGATGGGTATTTCTTAAAATCGGTTAAAGAAAGAGTTATTTAGGGTCTAGATGCAATTTTTCTCTATATAAAGGTGTGTCCGCATGTCGGTGTCGGAAGCGTGCATATGTAACCGTATCCCATGACGACGTACACTACCAATCACGATCAAATGCGACAACATCTTCACGAGCATATTAACGACTTGGGCTTTGGCCACCGCATAGACGATAGAAACCACATTTAGAATCGATCTATTAAACAACTTTAAACGAGCTTTTATTTAGTAATATAACGTGTAAATTTGTTTTTTTTTAAACTTAAATGTATTACTGCTATTAAAAATCTTTACTTTGTAAAACTGATTAGTTTGTAAAAATTTTACCGTTTAAAAAATTCCTTAATAGTTTAACGTCTGTCTGTTTGTTAGTGATTTAATAAGGCTCATGAGAATCATAACTTATTCGATCAACAAACGAAGTTTTTTTTCCCAAACATGTCACTCTCAATTAAAAAACACGTTTTTTTCATCTATAAAAAACTTTCCAATCAAAACATTCTCAATCTGTATAGACAAATTAATTTACAAATACAATTTTATTTATATTTAAAAAACAAAACAACACCAAATGATTGATTCCATAAGGGTGAATTAACGAAATACCCCTTACTTTTTGTACATGAGATGTTTGAGATTGTTTATTTTAACATTTGATATTTTTTTAAGTGTTTATCGATTTATATGATATTAAATCAGAGCTTTATAAAAAGTATTTGGATTAATTTATGGTGGTATAAAAATGTAATAAGCTGATATGTATTTTTTTTTTCATTCAAACACTAAGGAGCCGTTTACAAAATACTTATGCAGTAAGTGTTTACCAATAAAATTTAACACTATTATTTATTTACTGGGTAAGATTTTAATCCACTAAAACGACATTACATGCAATAATTTACCCAGTAAGTGTTTACCATGGTAAAAATCGTCACCCTCACTTACCGGATAAGACTCTTGGTCTTTGTCTCGTTTTTACAAGATAAGATTATTGGTCTTTACCATATTCATCTAGTGAGATAACGTAACTTAATAAGTGTTTATCCAAATAAGCGTCATGTCTAAAATCTATTTATTATCGCTGATCATGCTTTAATAAAGTGACAAACCCTTGTCACTGGTATCACCGGAGAATAAGTTCATAAAACCACCCCTGAGAAACAGCGGGACCGTTTTGGCTTTCAGACCGGTCGTCTTCATCGGCGACAATATTTCAACCAGAGGGTAAAAGATCCTCTGATTTCTCTCTCCTCCGTTGAGCCGTCGTGCTACTGTTTGAGAGAGAGAGGAGGAGAGAGAGAGAGAATTTGATTGATGTGATAATCGAGGTTAATTTTCAATTCGATTAGAGGACCCACCATGATCTTGGACTTGAGTCCCAACAACACAATTCGAGGGAATTTATAAGCACGAGATCTCTTCTCCCTATGAAAAGGTAAGCTCCAAACTCTTAAATCCTTGATTTTCCCCTAGTTATCACCCTCCAACACACTTCGACAAACCCTTGTTTCCTGGGCTCTTCATGTCTTCTTCATTATTAGGGTTCGTTGATTAGTTAAGATTTTGTTTCAGATATCAGCAACTGCAAGAGTTTAATGATATTTGAAGTTTGAGGTTTTACATTGAACAAAGAAAATGTAAATAATTTTATATTTCTTGATTTCTTCCCCTTTTTAACTTGTTAATTGTTAAATTCTTGGGTTTTTGATAAGAAGGGGCTTTTATTTTTGTTTTCAACTTTTAGTTAGTTTGTTGATTGGTTGAAATTGACGATCTGGAATTCTGTGAATGGAGAATGGACCATGCACTGAGACTTGCTTTGCTGCTGATGCTTCTTGCTTTAGGTATGCACTTTTGTAGTTGATCTGCAATTACTTGTGTAGATTCTTAAATGAAAAAGAATATTCATCAAACAGAATCTTGAATCCAGTTTGAAAAATTTATGTACCATGAACTCTAAATACTCTTTGGTTATTATGATGTATTGAAAGAATATTACTGTGTAATTAAGATAATCGTTTCCCTAGTGAACTTAAAAAGAAGCTGATTGGTTGATCCATGCCTTACAGATTGCAAGAGTAATTCTATCATAAATACTTATCATGTTGGAGTTACTCTTATCTATCTATGCCTTACTAAGTTAAACTTCTTTCTAGATAAAAATGGTAACTTCATGTGGTCACCTTTGTGTTTGTGGATGTATATATACATCCATATGTTTACATATCTTACTGGAAGTAGGTATGGAATTAAACCATATTCATTTTGTTGTTTAATGAATAGTGTGGCATTGGAAATGTGCGTGTGACTGTTTGTATATTTATATTGTCCTGTTTAACATAATTGTTTCAATGGTTTTCTGCTTTTTGCCACAGTGTATCCATCTTCTAGCGCAATCGACTTTGAGCACTGCAAAAGTTCAGTCAAGCAATGGGCATCTTCTTCCCTTCACTCAGATACCAAGGATGGTCATATTCTCAAGGACTTGCTGTTTTTTCTTCATGTCCCAAGAACAGGAGGGCGGACTTATTTTCATTGGTAACTTTCGTTTCTTTCTGCATTGCAGTTGCTTATTCAGCTTTTTAAGAGTATTACTGTTACAAAATCTTTTGTGGCTTTGCTTTATCTTCACAGCTTTCTGAAGAAATTGTATTCTAGTGCTCTAGAATGCCCACGATCTTATGATAAATTGCGGTTTGATCCTGGGTAAGTCTTATAATTGTTAAAAGTTATTTGTTTATTGATTTTTTGGTTTCTGAAGGTTATGTGACCTATGATCCCAGACAATGACATCAAGGCAGAATCACTGAGCTGTTTTCTGTTAAGAGTTCATCAGAGCATAAAACTCAGATTAGTGAGAACTAAAAGAGAGTAGATGAAGTGCAACTTTAGTATTGCAGAGTAGGGTGGTTGATGTTCTTTTACGTAATGTGCACCTCGGTACCTAGGGTCATGACATAAGAAGAGGGAGAAACTGAAAGGCCATGTGCATTTTTGAGACAAACGAGACTGAAGTTATATTGTATGAGACTGATGCCAGCTATGATATATAGTATAACAACCAAAACCAGAAATATGAACTAAAATACCAACAAGTTCCATAAGCAAGTACTACTTTGGTCCCAGATATAACAATTCACTGAAAGAGAGCATTCTCAATGTTCTAGCGGAACCACTAAGAGAATTATTGAAAAATACTAAACCGTAAAGACAATAACAACATCAAGTGGAACAAGTATTTGAAAGATCATCCTCAATCCATGCTCAAACCGGCAACTTACCCTTGGCTTTACTCGTACCCCCTACTAACGAATGCCCTAAAAACATTTATTCTAGAAAATATGGGTTAGATCGTAAGGTCTAGTGAGTTTTGATATATAACAAATGCATTCAAGAAAGTATCATCACTTAGTCCATTAAATATAAATTCAAACGACCAATACTTCTCAGGGTAACTAGCCTAAGCAGTCGTACACAAATGATCCATTACAGACAACCATCCTGACATGATCGCAATCAGTGTCAGTGATGTAACCCCATGAAACAAATTCACGGTATGCCATTCCTTCTCCATGTGGACTGTCACATTCTCACATCCAACCCTCCTGCTGTGTAAGTTAACCCCTTCTGAAACACCCTGTGTAATCCACATAAAAATTATGTTTAACCATCAAATTGTAGAATCGTAATTCATGCATTTCATATATGGAGTGCAATTTCAACAAATCGGAATATTCAAGATTAAGTCCAGTTCAGATCATATATGGAACATTTATGCATAAGGTTTCAATTTCCAAAAAGTGTGCAAAGAAACTCACTAGATCTTACGGTCTAACCCGTATCTTCTAACATAAATGTTTCCAGGGAATTCGTTAGTAGGGGGTACGAGTAGAGGCAACGGTAAGTTGCCGATTTTTGAGCATGGATTGAGGATGATCTTTCAAATACTTGTTCCACTTGATGTTGCTATTGTCTTTATGATTTAGTATTTGTCAATATTTCTCATAGTGCTTTTCCAGAACATTGAGAATGCTCTTTCTCAGTGAACTATTATGCCTGGGACCAAAGTCGTACTTGTTTATGGAAGTCGTTGGTACTTTAGTTCATATTTTTGGTTTTGGGTTGTTACATATAGCTCATTGAGCTATTATTAATTAGCATTATGTCATAGGTGCATGAGATTTAGTGTTGTTGAAGTATGGATCTTAAGGTGGAATGGTATACATTAAGTAGAAAATCTAAGAAACATTGACTAAGTATTGATATCTGTCCTTCAGATGCACTGGTGAGGATTGAAATTCCAAGGAGAGGCTGGCTGGATGGGGAAAGATATGGTAGTTTCTAGTAGTAAAAAGGTTCTTAAATTTACCATAACATATCAAGCACTGTAGACGATTGCTTTCTGATTGTTAAACAAACTAGTCTTGGTTAACCCCACTACTTTAAGATGAATATTAGTTGGTGACATTGATTATTTATTTTCCAATTTCAAAGATGCAGCTTTAAATCTTAATGCATGATGCATGAATAATTTAACTTTCATACTTGGTACTGCTGATCACTTGGTTTAGGGGATGTTTGGTTGGTTTTCCATTAAGTCCTGTATGGATAAAGATGTCTGTGTGACTGTCTATATAGATTGTGAGGGTTTTTGTTTGGGAGGATTTTTCCATAGATGGAAGAAGCGTGTTTTTTAATTGGGAAATAGGTTTGGAAAAAACTTGGCTTTCTGCATAAAGCTCCCCCTAGAAGCTTATTGAATAAGCCACTTTCTATATCATTAAGCCAGTACCAAACAGTCATCTGTAGCTGACCGAATAAGCTATGAGTCTCATTATGCTCATTAAGCTGCTAACAAACAGGCCCTTACTCAGGCATATGATTCATGTGATACTATTGAATAACAAGCCTTTAGTTTTCCATTTGAAAATTCCTGTGCTTGAGAGTTCCTGATAATTAAATAGGCCAAGAGCTTATGCTTGTTTCTAAATGTTATAGTTTTGCGTTCTTGTGCAGCAAACCAGATTGCAGGCTATTGGTAACTCATGATGACTATAGCATGATGTCTAAACTTCCCAGAGAGAAAACTTCAGTGGTAACAATTCTGAGGAACCCCATTGAGCGTGTTTTTAGTGCTTATGAATTTTCAATAGAGGTAGCTGCTAGGTTTCTGGTGCATCCCAACTTGACGTCAGTCATAAAAATGTCTGGACGGTTGCGGTCAAAGAATGGTGGTATAAGCACTCTCGAGATATGGCCATGGAAGTATCTGGTTCCTTGGATGAGGGAGGATTTATTCTCGCGGGTATGTCTTTTAAACATTTACCATGAAAATGACTAGCCTTGGCAATTTATTAACTGTTTTCTGATTTGTTATGTATTTGAAAAAGGTTGAGCTTTTGTACCACATGTGAATATAGATAAGAGGGAAAACCCTCAAGAAAGTTGGGAAGGGGTGACATTGAACTTAATAAGACTAGGTGTGTGCGGCTGAGTGATTATATAAATCTAATAGTTGTACTCATTTCTTTTACAAAAATCCATAACAAATCTGATGTCAAGTGCAGGGTTTGACTTCCTTTGCCTTGTATTTAAAAGATAAAAGTTTAGTGTATGATACAGATTACCATAGTCTTTTGTCATAGACGATTCTACTACCTCAGTTGATTTATGTAAACACTTGCAACATTTTATATGCTCTTTTCAGGAATATTGTTATGCAACTGATGAATCTGTTTACTTTGATATTATGAACAGCGAGATGCCAGAAAGAGAAGGGGTCCACCTTATTTTTATGGGAATGATTCATATAATATGGAAGAAATTGTGATGCCATTACATGAATACATTCATCACCCTGTAGCTCTGGACCTTGTTCACAATGGTGCCACATTTCAGGTACAAACCTTCATGAACAAAATGAAATTTGCCAGCCAGGTAGATTGAGCTTAATCATGTTAGTTTTATATAAGTCCAGTCATCACTGAAATGGGTCACATTTTGAATTTTACTTTTGTTGGTCACAATTCAATGAAGACGAAGGCCTAATGCATTTGTCTAAATCTTCACCGTTTAATCAATCTCATGCCAAACTGATAAATTTTGAACTTACAAGAATAACTTATAGATTGCCAACAAAAGCTTTTGTTATGGCTAATTGTTTTTGATAAAGGTTGCAGGTTTGACGAATAATTCTAATATTAAAGGGGCACATGAACTGCGCCAGTGTGTTATAACCTATCAGATTCTTGGAAAATATGTGCTTGAGGTTGCAAAGGTAATGATAAAGATGCTATATGTTGCCCCCAAGATTGAAGAGCCTGTTTTATCCATATTACTTGATGATGTTTTCTCTTACTTTACAATGGTGGTTTCCTGCAGAAAAGGCTGGACGATATGCTGTATGTTGGAATCACAGAGGATCACAGAGAATCTGCAACAATGTTTGCAAATGTAGTTGGCGCGCAAGTTATTTCTCAGTTAATGGCAACAACTGTAAATGATAGTACATCAGGTATTTGTTGATTGTTACTATTGTTATTCTTGAATGTGATTTTTAGTTGTCACAGAAGGTATCTTTCAAGGATAGTCTTCTTTAAAGGGATCCACATTATGTTTTTTACTGGCATACAGGAGTTGTCATTTGGTGCCTTCCATATTTTTCCACTTTATTGCATGCTTAGTAGAGATCACTCACGCAGATGAATGTTTTTTTCAACTAATAAAATTAAGCCAAGCGTTTGTTTCGGTTCTACTTGGTGAGATCTATTACTTGCAATTTGACATCGTAGAATTTTCTCCTAGCTTCCAAGTATAAGATATAACAAGGAACCAGTGGTTATCGATGAAAAACCTCGAAATTGGGTTCAGAAGAACATATATTAGGTAGGAATTTTAGCTTGTGCCTGCTGTAATATCTTTCTAGGTTGCATTTGAACATTTTCTTCTGTTTATATCATGTCTTTGATTCAAAATACAAGATATAGTCATATAGTGGAAAATATATATGTATTTGGCCCCCTTAGTATGGAATAACATATTGTTTGGTCACTATATCTTTAAAGTTTATCTATTTCAACCATTTTATTTCATGTCCCATTTGCGTAATAGTCCCGCTTTCCTGTTAAAAAATCTGACATTTCCTAACGTATATGTCCCTAAGGAGCATTAGAACAACATTATTTCAGCAAGGGTAAAATGGTCCAATAACGTTCCTTTTTGCCAGGAAAGTAGGATTGGTGGACAAAAGTGCACAGAAGATGGGTTAAGGGCCAAATAAATACTCCCTCCCTTCTTGTTAGTTGTCCTCTATTGACTTAAATGTCATGCTTCAGGAAAATTATAATTATCTTTTTGTGCTGTAATCTTAGCACCAATTTTATTGTATACCTTTTCTTGTAACTTCCAAAATTAAATATTTTGGCAGTACTTTGTTGTACATTCAATATAACTACTAACAGAAAACGAAGGAAGGCAGTTTTGTTTTTTGAATGACCAAACTTATTTACTTGATATATTTTCTCTTCAGCAACTGGCCAAAATTACATTTTCTGATTATATCTTGTTCTATGGATCTTTTATTTATGGGGTTGTAGTATTTTCTGAAATGTGTTACTGCTTGTGATGCAGAACAGGGTCCTTCATTTTCTGATTCCAGCACTGATACAATTCACGATCAGGTAATAGGTGGTGACTTTTCAGTAAACAGCAAAGTTCAAGTGTATTATCTTCAAATGTTGTGCCAATGACAGACTTAATTTGCATGCATAACAGGATAACAGTTCATCTACTGTTGAAGCGAAAAGCGAAAATGTAATACCCTTTTCTCATGACATGCTTGTTGACACTTTAACTTGTTCAAATATAATGATATGTTACCGCTAACACGAGACTCAGAGGATTTTATCTTCTCCTTAGATGACTGTGGGGAAACTCATGGATACCTATGAGACCTGCATTTCATCACTAAGATCGTCCCAGTCGCAACGGCGTACTGCTTCTTTAAAAAGGATCTCCCCAGCAAACTTTACGAAGGAGGTATGTTATATATTCCCCATGCTTCCTTTTGACTTCTTTACTATGTAAATTCCTTCTTATTTCTTTGCTTCAAGATATAAAGAACACATATCAAATCTACATGATCACTCAAGAAGCAATAATGGAAGCAGTCATATTAGCATTTTTGGAAGAAATTAGATGGGGTTGACTGAATGGTAAAATTAAAAGATGTGCACATGGTCAAAATCATCTAACTATAATTAGAGGGAAGATTGCGGTGGTTTGGCCACATTGAGGAGGGTCTGTTTGGTTTGGTTTGGTTTTTAATTTGATGTTCTTTATGGAACAGAGGTTAAAATTTTAAAAGTCTTTTTGTTCATGATCCTTGGTCATGTTTTATTATTGCAAATTGATCGCTATGATGCTGTGCCTTTAGCTTGACAGACCTTACTGTTGTATAACATCTGTAAAATGAAGATTGTCAAAATATGTGCCCTTCTGTCCTTCCGTAAGTATCTCTGCTCTGTTGCTGAGAAGTACTGACTAGCAGTAGATATATACAACTTATAAGTATTTATTCTATTATTGAAGCTCAAGCAACACTTTCTTTGTGAATGATCTCTTTTGTATGCACTATGCAGAAAGACTCACAGATAAAGCTTTTTTGTCTTTTTATTTCATCCGTCCCATTAAATTATTACACAGCTTCCTTCACGGGATGTCTTGTGAAAATCGCAACAGCATTTCATTCTTTTGGAAGGTTTTAATGTGAAAACTACATATCTGTCCATTATCATATTTAGAAATAAATTGATTTTATTGATTAAGTTCCGAAAGTTTCCTCTATTTTCCGTCACTGATATTACAAATTCTGAGACCTTCAGGCACGTCAGCATGTACCGGATACGCTTCTTAAAGAAATCATTTCGCTCAACAGTCTTGACATCGAACTCTACAAATATGCCAAGGAAATTTTTCAAAAGCAGCATCAGATTATGGAACAGAAATTACTTGATTCTAATCAAGTTAAGCCTGTAAGTTCCCATCTTCTAAAAACTTGAATTCGGTTTAAAAGGTCCCGTTTGAGTTTCACCTCCATAAAAAAGATTCATATCTGTCAAGACCATGTTTGGCAACCATAAGTTGACTTATTTTTTGAGTTTATCAAAAAAACGATTTGAGTTTATCAAAAAACCTCCAATAAGCTCTGTTTTTTTTCCAATTATGCTCCTTGTATTTATCCAATTAATTTTTCAACATGTCCTTTTAGTTCACTTCACATTATCAACTAGTTTTTAACCAATCGTGACTAGCTTATCAGCAGATTTGCCAAATATATCCCAACTCTCAAGCCGATTTTTCGTTTTCAACTAAATCATGGTCAATTCTTGGAGGTTTTGTATTTGGCTTATTTTCTTGATGAAAATAAGCCTTTTCATTCTCCATTTCATGTTAATCCCATTTCTTAGAGCTTCTCAGATTCTCCAAAACAGAGAAAATAGAGATTTTGGGCGTGTTTTTTTGCTCCAACAGATTCTCTAAAATAGAGAAAGTTGAAAAGAGAGTGTAAAAATCTCCAAATTTGGATATCACCCCAAAAACGATTACAATGAGAGAGAGTTAATATATTTCCACCAATAGGAAACTTTGAAAATAAATTAAAAAAAGAGAAATAATATTTTATTAGATAAATGAAATATTCAATGTTGTAATATCCAAAATGGAGAATCTATTGGAGTTGAATGTATCTTTGTTGTAGAGATTTGAAATTTCATCCTCGATTTTGGAGAATCCGTTGGAGATGCTCTTAGTTGTTGACCTCGAATTTCGACAGTGGTCAATCCTAGGTTTTTGACTTATTTTCATGGATCATTTGCAGGCGAAATGGAACATGATGCTTAGCAGCATCGATTCCGCATGGACAGTCTTTTACATTTTCGTGTTTGTGTTCTTGCTTTTCTTCATCTGCTTCTATGTAAGTGCAAAAAGAAGAATATCTAAACTTAAGGTGTGAAAATTTTGATTAAAATGGAAATTATAGCGATTCGAACATATAAAATATTAGGAAATGAAACATTAAGACACCCCTGTTAAGACAGATTAGAAAGGTAACAGTGCACATGATATATTATGGAGGTCAAATATATTAATGAGTGATTTTCAGAGAACTTCTTGTACTTCAATGTGTCAAATGTCTACATTCAAGTTTAAAGCAGGATTTGGCTGATTGGTACTTGTTGAATTCATTTTGACTTTGTTCCTAAAGTTGTGGAAGCCAAGTGTTGACTTTTTCTTGTTGCAGCAGATTTGAGTTTCTTGTTGAATTCTGGTTCTTGATTGAAAATTAATTTGGTTTATAGGTTTATGAAAGATGTAACAGATAAAAGGTTGATGTTGTAAAGTTATGGACGTGTAACGTCCATGCTTACCTGGTAAGCACTACCTTATCGGATGAATATGTCATGGATAGAGAATCTTATCCGGTAAAAGCGATGACAATGGCAAAGGTCTTACCCGGTAAGTGAGAGTAACAACTCTTACCCGGTAAGCGGATAAATTGTTGCATACAATGTTGTTTTAATGGGTAAAATCTTGCCCGATAAATGAAGGTGTTCACTCTTAGCGTTTTCATCAGCATGCCTGGTCATGGATGCATCAACAATGGTGATGTTTTTTTTCCTGGAAGTATTTCGATAATCTTAGTTGTCAAACGCTTTCGCGAGCAAAGTCAAGCCACATGGGGTAGAATTTTCACAAATAGGTATCGGGTTATACTACGGTCCTACCTATTTGCTCTATGATTTCGTAATTTACCTCCCTGATGATAGTCGTGAGACCAGGGTCGTTCTTTTTGGGAGTGAGCAGACCCGAAACATATAGGTACCCGAAAGATATAATGGATGGTAGTTGAACTAAAAATATTAGTACACAAAAGGTCCAAAGCGTTTTTGTATGTGACAAGAGCTTAAAAGAATTTAGCAGATAATGGGACAAGATATATCTATTAATTACATTTGAAAAGAAAATTTGTAAAAAATTTAGATAATCATATGTTTTATACTGTTACTTATTTTTCCTGTACGTTTATTTGTATTGCATCAAGGACCAAGAATATCAGTTATTGTTATCTCTATTTGATTGACTACTAATCTGTTTTCATGCTTCAACAATAAAATGGAGTCTGAATGAGTATTGACCATAAGCAGCCAAACAATCTGCATCAACAGATAACGACTTTAAGTTTGAACCTTTAAGGTCTTAAGCTTGTTATTGCTATTTGTTTATGTTGCTTTGTAACTACTTTTGTTGGTTATTGCTATTTGTTTTTGCTTATGTAGTTAGTAATGTACTATTAATTCATGCCTAACGGTATTGTTATTTGACGACTCATCTATTGTTCTTATGAGTTATACTGTATTTGATGATTGATCAGTAAATGCTCTTAGGCAAATGCATTTAGTTAATTGTCTGTGTTTGTCATGTTTAATAAACTTTTAATCATAACATCTTACAGAGCAAGAAAAAAAAATGAGGGGAAACTAAGAAAATTCATACCTTCTACAAAATTTATAATCTACCTGCTCTATCATGTCTGGATATCAAATGCAATATATAGGAACCCATTTTATGTAACTTTTCGTGCAGATCGTTTTTAATTCACCAACTTAATAACCTAAATAAAATTCCATAATAGTATTTGTTATAAGAATCTCTTTTGTGTGCCTCATATATTTTTCGAATGTTAATAAATAATTTTACACTCTTTTTTAATATTAAAATTGGATTAATTCATGCATTAAAAATAGGGAAAAGTACAATAAAAACCAATTGACTTTCTTGTTTGGAATGATTAAGTCCTTAGACTTTTTTTTTGGAACAAAAAAGTCATTGGACATTCCAAAACATGTTAAATAAGTCCTTGAATAATTTTTTGGAACAAATAAGTCATTGGACAATTTTTGGAACAAATAAGTCCTTGGACATTCCAAAAAATGTTAAATAACTCCTTGGACAATTTTTGGAACAAATAAGTCATTGGACATTCCAAAAAATGTTAAATAACTATTTGGACAATTTTTGGAACAAATAAGTCATTGAACAATCCAAAACATGTTAAATAACTTCTTGAACTTTTATAAAATATGTTGGATACATTCTTATGACTTGTACAACTAGTTAAAGTGGTAAAA